AAAGGTTAGGTAGGTAATTGATAAGCATGTTGCCCTTGGTAATAATTGTAGGTAGTTGTTGCCCGTCGGTGTCACTGATGTACGATTATATACGTCTTTATAGTTGCAATGAGAAATGTAAGAATAATTTAAGAAAATGAGAATATTAAATTGTATTATGTAATCAAAAGACTTCGACCGGACGTAGAACACGATTGTTAAAAATGTTTACGTTTATCAGTTTTGTTTATTTTAAATAATACGAAAGTGTATTAATAGGTTACTAGTCAATATAATATCTTATGGTGAGTAAGCTATGTATTTTTATATAATATGTTAATATGTTTCATGTTGGACAAAGTAGTTATTTTGTTCTCTTACTAATGTAACGACCCAATCCATGTATTAGTGTTCAGGTAAATTGACGAACGCGGTTAACCACTTCATATTTGATTGCACGTGTGCATAATAATATGGTTATTATTAAAACATGATAATATATACCWAAGTATAATAGTAAAATATATAATAGGTACAACAATCGTCCTTTTTTTGTTGCGTTGCAACTGCGTATAAATGACCGCATTTTATGTACGCGTAAATTTAATACGAGTGGCAATTAATGGTTCACAAGTTTTGATCACGTTTACAATACATCAAAGGGAAAATACTTTTACCCTCACAAAAAGGGGGAAATTATAACGAAAGATCCTCTAGAGATAGAGCGACACCATTTTTTAGTACCATCGACGATGACCGTCGACCTACAGTAATTTTAACTTTATGCTTAGCAATTTTACCTACCAGCATTACCATGCATTTTAAAAAGTTTTAAATTATTTTAAAAAATAAATAGGTAAAACGTTCCTTTCAAAATAGTCAATAAAAATTAAGTTTTTATATTATACTATTAACTCAGAAATCTTCAATTTAAGGGACTGTGTATTTATTTAAGGAAAATATATATATATAAATATCATATTAAATTGTATTATAGGTACCAGTAGATGAGAAGAGTCTAAATTTTAGCCCTTAGAAAGTGTTCGAGGTGAACAGTTTGAGAACCGTTTGTCTAAAATAATATAAACCTATTTAATACAATATTTATTTTTCTATCAGAATATTGGAGCATTTTATGATACCTATACATAATGTAAAATTCAATAAATTTAGTAAATGTTATAAATTTATAACTAGCTACTAGTTAGTATACGATCTTTTTTAGTTAAATAAATACTATTTAAACCAGGAAACATATATTTGAAATGTAATAAGTATATTATACGATTTTAAATAGAACTATAGAGTGTACTGTAGAATAAATAAATTATATTTTCACACGTATTATACTTAATAGAAATTCATTTATAATTTTAGATTCTGAATGGAGCAATGAATGTAGTGATTTTACCATGATGTGTTTTTTTTCATTTTTTTCTGTATACAYGATAAGTAATTAAATTAATGCTCCCAATTTTCAATATCAGTATATCTTTCAGTGAGAAAGTGAATTTAGTTGGTGAATTCTGAAGGTCAAAATTTAAAATTCCAAGTTCAAATTTGTACAATATTGGAAATTCACATTAAACGTGATTAGTAGTAATTCAAAAACCAATAACTGTTGATACTTGAAATGTACGACAAATGTTTATTTTATAGTTCCTTATACTTGATAAAACTTTCAAAATATTTGATTCCTAATGATTTATTTGTGTCAGTTGGATTCTGAATACTGAATTTATTAATAGATTTTGTTTTTATATAGTAAATACTGTTTAATCAATAATGAATGTGAATTTGAAATTTTTCAAAATTTAAATTTCATTCTTCCTGAATATTGCAATAAAACTATAATGAAAATCTATCTTGATGTATACATTTCCTGATATAGAAAATTATTTTCAGTTAGTAATTAGACTTAGGAAACAATGATGATAAATAATTTATTAGTATTGGTAGCTGTGGTTTAAGAATAACATTGTAAATTGTTATATTGATAAAATGACTAATTAATCAAGTCTCTATTATTCGTTATGCCTTCTGAAGCCAAAAAAAGGTGTTAATGTTTGTAATTTGTACAAAACATTGTAAAATTCAGTATTGAGTGCTTATTTGTAAATTATTGATCATTTTTAGTAGTAAACTCTATAAATGAGAAGATATCATTACTAATAACATCATAACTATTTATCAGAACATTAAACTTGGTTTTTTCGTTTGCAGCGAATATCATTAAAATCCTTATACAAGTTGTACTACACAACACATACATAATAGTACAATTATTATTTTAATGGTGAGCTACACTTGACACTTTGGTGTTATATAACATGTTATATGACTAACGAGTTTATTACATGAGTTAATTTTACATTTGTACATATAAATATATACATACAAAACAAATTCTACATTCTTAGTCAACTGTTTATCTTTGTTCCATATATTTTTAAATAAACTTTAAAAAGAAAAAGAAAATTAAGCGATTGCTCTATTATAAAGTAGAAGTCAAGTTTTATACATCGTTATTGAGCAGGTAACTGTAATCGATGTGTTTAATTTTAGTTCGATAA